CTGATTCACCCTAGGCTTGAATCTGGGGGGTGGAGCCCAGGAAGAACAGCAGGTGTGAGGATGGGTGGTACTGGGGCTGTCGCAGATAAACAGAACAAGGTGCCTGTGGGACATTCAAGTGCAGCCGTCTGCCAGGCAGTCAGATCTATGGGTTCAGAGTGATGAGGTGGAAACTGGAGTCATGGCTGGGTCACATCACTCTAAGGGTGAGTGGATCACTGGCAAAGGCTATCGAAGGATTTCCTGCAAGTCAGTCACAAAAGACAAAATCCTTGCAGGAAAATACTTGATGGATAAGTGGACAAAAATTATCAACAGGTCCACCTTAATGGTTTTGGGGAAAATAAAGTATGTAACCTCACAGTAATGACGGAAATGCAAATTTATGCAATAAAGAAATACCACTTCATAGCCTTCAAACTGAGAAAAATTTAGAAACCTGCAATTTCCCAGGATAAAGAGCAACAGGCATGCTTACATGCCGCTGCTGGGGAAGTAAATTGAGATGAGCACTTTGGGGAAAAAAATTGACATTATCTCACCAAGTTGGCAGAGTGCATGGCATAAAGACCAATAATTTAATGTTAATCAGAAACTACAGAGAATTCTTTCTGCCTGTGTGCCAGGATTAAAGCACACACACTGGCCAAAAACTACAGAACCACTGTCAGGAGAAGGACCCATCCAGCCCAATATGTTCCTGCGTGGAGTACTATGAGGAGACTTCTCCAGATCATGGGGATGTGGAATTAAAATGAATTACTTTGGTGCAAAAAATCTTGAAATCAATAATAATAATAAAAAAAAACAAAATAAAAAATCTTGAAATTCATGCATTGTTGTTTTCCTAATATACATTTTTGTGGGCTTGATTTTTTTTTTTTTTTTAAGATTTACTTATGTGAAAGGTGGTGACAGACACCTCCTATCTGCTGATTTACTCCCCAAATGCTGGGCCTGAGTGAAACTGGGAGCCAGGAACTCCAGCTGGGTCTCCCACGTGAGTGGCAGGCACCCAGTCACTCTGCTGCCTTCCCACTCAGCCATCCCCTGCTGCCTTCCCAGCGCATTAGCAGGGAGCTGGATCAGAAGGGGATTTGAACCATGCACTCTGATGTGGGATGCCGTGCTGGTGTTACAGCAGTGGCTTCACATCCTGGTCCTCACGCTATCCCAGGAGTCCAGGTTTTCAAGTTACCCTGGGTCACATGTCAGCAGGAAGCTGAAACTGGAAGCCAAGCTAGGAACAAAAACCTGGGCACAGCCATGTGGGATGTAGAGAGCAGGCACAATGCCCATTGCTCTGTGAACTCTTTGAAGACTCCTTGTGTATCACAGTGAAAATTGTTCAATCAGCAAGGTGTGTCACTGTGGTACAATCTCTCAGTCACAAAGGAGGATACATATATTGTGAAATCATTAACAGGAAATTTAAAGATAGGCAGTGTAATGCTAGATACTGCTTTTCAGTTGTATGAATCTTAATATACTCTTTAAAAAATGCATAAGGAACCAGCATGGTAGCCTAGTGGCTAAAGTCCTCACCTTGAAAGCGCCGGGAACCCACATGGGCACCAGTTCTAATCCCAGCAGCCCTACTTCCCCTCCAGCTCCCTGTTTGTGGCCTGGGAAAGCAGTCCAATACGGCCCAAAGCCTTGGAACCTTTCACTTGCATGGGAGACCTGGAAGAAGCTCCTGGCTCCTGGCTCCGGATGGGCTCAGCTCCAGCTGTTGTGGTCACTTGGGGAATGAACCATCGGATAGAAGATCTTTCTGTCTTTCCTCCTCTCTGTATATCTGCCTTTCCAATAAAAATAAATAAATCTTTAAAAAAAGAAAGAAAGAAATGCCTGAGATGGCAGCAGGCATGATAACTCAAAACTTGCTAATCCTTGCAGCCTGGGAAAGCAGTAGAGGGTGGCTCAAGTCCTTGGGTCCCTGTACCCATTAGGAAGACCTAGAAGAAGCTCTTGGGTTGGCTCAATTCCTGCCATTGTAACAAAAAGATGCATGAGAATGGCAAATGCAGGGTGATACCCCTGAGGAAGGGTTTCTATTAGGGAAGTTTTTTTGTTTTGTTTTGTTTTATTTATTGGAAAGTCAGATGTACAGAGAGGAGGAGAGACAGAGAGGAAGATCTTCCGTCTAATGGTTCACTCCCCAAGTAAGCGCAGTGGTCGATGCTATGCTGATCTGAAGCCAGGATCCAGGATCTTCCTCCGGGTATCCCACATGGGTGCAGGGTCCCAAGGCTTTGGGCTGTCCTCGACTGCTTTCCCAGGCCACAAGCAGAGAGATGGATGGGAAGTGGAGCTGCCAGGATTAGAACCGGCGCCCATATGGGATCCTGGCGCATTCAAGGGGAGGACTTTAGCTGCTAGGTCTTGCCGCCGGGCCCGAGTGTTTTTCTTTTTTAAAAGAAAAAATATTATTTTATCTTATTTTATTTTTTAAAATATTTGTTTTTATTACAAAGTCAGATACACAGAGAAGAGGAGAGATAGAGAGGAACATCTTCTGTCCGATGATTCACCACCCAAGTGAGCGCAACAGCCAGTGCTGTGCCAGTCCGCAGCCAGGAACCAGGAACTTCCTCCAGGTCTCCCACATGGGTGCAGGATCCCAAAGCTTTGGGCCTTCCTGGACTGCTTTCCCAGGCCATAAGCAGGGAGCTGGGATTAGAACCGGCGCTCATATGGGATCCCAGTGCATTCAAGGCGAGAACTTTAGCCGCTAGGCCATGCCACTGGGTCCAGGGAAGGAGTTTTAACATAATTTTTTTTATTGTTAAATATTTATTTATTTGAAAAGCAGAATTGAAGAGGCAGAGAGATAGCTCTTCCATCTGTTGGTTTATCCCCAAATGGCCACAGCGTCCAAGTCTGCTCTACCTGAAGCCAGGAGCTTGGGGCTCTGTTGGATCTCCCACATGGTGGCGGGTGCCCAAGCACTTGGGCCATCTTCCACTGCTTTCCCAGATGCTGTGTTGGAAGTGGAGCAGCCGGGACTTGAACCAGCACTCACATGGGATGTTGGTATTGCTGGTGGTGACTTGACTTGCTGCAGCATAGTGCTCACTATTTTTCTTAAGTTGGGTAGAGGGTTAGTGGCTTTTGTTGTTTTTTGTACTCTACATGTTACCTGTATGTATTTTTGTGGAATATTGTGCAGCAATGCCACACGTGTAGAGTATACAACACAATACCAATCAGGGAATTAAGGTTTTCATTTCCTTTTCTTATTTTGGAGATATCCAGTTCTTTGCATAGTACATAATACATTATTGGGAACCATAGTCACAGCACTGTGTCCTGGAACACTGAGAGCTATTAGCTTCTGTTTTGTTGTTCCTTTTCCACCCTCCTACCTCCCCTGTCCCTGGTCCCTTCCCAACCTCTTAGTAACCACTATTACAAGTTCAGATGGATTTATTTGAAAATACATAATTTTTTTTAAAAAAAGATTTGTTTTTATTTTTATTGGGAAAGTAAATATACAGAGAAGAGGAGAGACAGAGAGGAAGATTCTTCATCTGCTGAGTCACGTCCCAAGCAGCTGCAACAGCCGGAGCTGCACTGATCTGAAGCCAGGAGCCAGGAGCCTCTTCCAGGTCTCCCACGTGGGTACAGGGTCCCAAGGCTTCGGGCCATCTTCGACTGCTTTTCCAGACCACAAGCAAGAAGCTGAATGGGAAGGGGGCTGCCGGGACATGAACTGGCACCCATATGGGATCCTGGCACATGCAAGGCGAGGACTTTAGCTGCTATGCTATCAACTTGGCCCAAATTTTGTAATTTTTAAAAGGATCAAATTACTCCTAGCTGTTGCTCAGCAAATATTCATATTATTGATTGGTTCTTTGTTTCTGAATTGGGGTGTTATTTTCTTCCTATCTGATTAGAAAGAAAAAAAAAATGCAGGCTCTGCCATCATGACACAGCAGGTAAAGGCCGGGACCTCAGCATCTCATGTGGGTGCCAGTTGATGTCCTGGCTGCTTTATTTCCAATCCAGCTCTCTGCTAATGCACCTGGGAAAGCAGCGGTGGATGGCCCAGGTGCTTGGGTCGCTGCCTGCCACGTAGGAAACCTGGAGGAAGCCCCAGGCTCTTGGCTTCACCCTTGCCCAATTCTAGCCATTGTAGCCATCTGGGAAGTGAGCAAGCAGATGGAAAAATCTTTCTCTGTCTTTTCCACTCTCTCCCTATCTTTAAAAAGAAAAAAATTGGGTCCTGGCACTGTGGCCTAGCAGCTGAAGTCCTCACCTTAGACGCGCCAGGATCCCATGTGAGCACTGGTTCTAGTCCCAGTGGCTCCACTTCCTGTCCAGCTCCCCGTCAAGGACGGCCCAAAGCCTTGGGACCCTGCCCCCTCCAGGGAGACCTGGAGGAAGTTCCTGGCTCCTGGCTTCAGATCAGCGCAGCACCGTCTGTTGAGGTCACTTGGGGAGTGAATCATTGTACGGAAGATCTTCCTCTCTGTCTCTCTTCCTCTCTGTATATCTGACTTTGTGATAAAAATAAGATAAATCTTAAAAAAAAAGAAAAGAAAAAAAGTGTGAATCTGTACAGCTTTTGGCGGACTAAGTCTGATTGGTAAGTCTGATTGGCACTAGAATCTGAGTTAGTTCTGGAACATTGCAATACAAAGGCAAAGAAATAGGGAAAAAGAGAGTCTGTTGCAATTTGCTACTGAGGCAGGTCAAAGACAGGAGCTTCAGCTGGGTCTCCTACATGGGTGCAGCACTTGAGTCATCCTCCACTGGCAGGAAGCTCGATCAGAGGTAGAGCAGCAGGACTTAAACCAGGAGTCACTTGTAGGGGATGCAGGTGTTGCTAGCAGCACCTTAACATGCTATGCCATGTTGCTGGTACCCCATCTGCCTCTCCGGCCTGGCTAGGGGCATACAGGTGGTGTTTCTGTCTGCCCTAAAACACTGCCAGGGCACTAGTCTGACTCATGTCCTTCCTGGTGACCTGTGTTCCTTCATTTCTTGTCTAGAGCCCTGTCCTGCACATGATGGAAGGTGACACCATCTATGATTACTGCTGGTACCCTCTGATGTCCTCAGCCCAGCCCGACACCGCCTTGTGAGTGATACCCTTTGCCCTCCCCCACCTCAATTTCAAGGGGACCCTTGATGGGCGGCGGGTCAAGGGCTGCCAGGGGCCTGGGAGGAGGCTCTGGGTGCCCTTCAGATGGGAGCTGAGAGGGCCGGTCAGTTGGCTTCCTCCCATTCCTTTGACAGCGCTAGGGCCTCAGTGTGCATGTGTCTCTCAGTGTGGCCAGCAGCAGCCGGGAGAATCCCATTCACATCTGGGACGCATTCACTGGCGAACTACGAGCTTCGTTTCGCGCCTACAACCACTTGGTAGGGACCCCTCTGCCTGGTCCCAGCCCTCTCCCTGGCCCAGCCCTCTTCCCCTGCAGAGAGCTGAAGCCCTTCCCTGCCCCCAGGATGAACTGACTGCAGCCCATTCACTCTGCTTCTCCCCGGATGGCACCCAGCTCTTCTGTGGCTTCAACCGGACCGTGCGTGTTTTCTCCACGGCACGGCCTGGCCGGGACTGTGAGGTCCGATCCACCTTTGGTAAGCATTTGTGCCTCCAAGTGAGGATGAAAGGAGAGGGCACCTGTGCAGGGGCCCCTGGTGAGCCCAGGCCCACCCAGGGAGCTTCTACATGTCCTCAGCAAAAGCCCAGGGAGGCAGGTTGCGCACAGGTGGCTGAGGAGGAAACACTCAGGACCAGTGAAATTTGGCCCAAGGTTGACCGGCTGGTCTAAGAACTGTTTCACCCTCACATTTGTGTCTTGTCAGTTGTGTGCTTTTTTCAGTTTTTAAAATCTTAGTATCTCAACAAGTTGAGATAAGGCCAAGTCCATTTTTCTTGAGACCCCTGTCCTTTCCCAGGAAAAACTGGGATTGGAGAGGAAAGTGGAACTGGTGGGAATTAAGATCTTTTAGGGCCTGCAGTGAGACAGGGAGCACCAGAGATCTTTGTCCTGCTTATGACAAGCAGGATGTGTGGATGTGCCCCCACACTGGTGCTGTGACAAGAGACAGGGGCGCCTCTGCTGAGCCTTCCGCCAGCTGTGTCCTTTCCTTCCCTTTCCAGCAAAAAAGCAGGGCCAGAGTGGCATCATCTCATGCATCGCCTTCAGCCCGGCCCAGCCCCTCTATGCCTGTGGCTCCTACAATCGCTCCCTGGGGTTGTACGCCTGGGAAGACGGCTCCCCTCTGGCCTTGCTGGTCGGGCACCAAGGGGGCATCACTCACATCTGCTTTCACCCTGATGGCAACCGCTTCTTTTCAGGGGGCCGCAAGGTTAGGGGCTCATGTCCTGAGAACTGGGGGGCAGCAGGGCTGACATGGGCTAAGGGAGCACCCGTCACCCTGTGGGAAGGCAATCAGGACCCCAGGTCCCTGTGCTGTCTCTTTCAGGATGCTGAGCTTTTGTGCTGGGATCTCCGGCAGCCTGGCCATGCACTGTGGTCCCTGACTCGAGAGGTGACCACCAACCAACGCATCTACTTTGATCTGGACCCGTGAGTGGAAGGGGCTTCTTTCCTGCCCATGGCTTTGGTCTCACCTTGCCATCCCACCCTAGGAATGCCAGAGCCCAGGAGTGGGATGTTCTTGCTGCAAGGGTGATGCCTGTTCTAGCAAGCCTTATCCCCACCCCACCCCCCTCTCTCCCAGGAGCGGACAGTTCCTGGTGAGTGGCAGCACCAACGGGAGTGTCTTGGTGTGGGATATCAGTGAGACTGGAGGCATTAAGAAACCAGAGCCAGTGCTGAGCTTTCTGGCACAGAGGGACTGCACCAACGGCGTGAGGTCTTCTGCTCACTTCTCTGCACGACTTTGGGCGGGTGGGCTGGGGGGCGGGGAGGGCAGGTGGATCTCCTTCGGAGCAAGCCTCCCTCTGCCCAGTGCTGACCCATCTCGCCTGTTGCTCCCTTGCAGCCTGCACCCTAGCCTGCCGCTCCTGGCCACTGCATCTGGTCAGCGCGTGTTCCCAGAGCCCACAGAGAGTGGGGACGAAGGGGAGCAGGAACTGGAGCTTCCTCTGCTGTCACTGCGCAATGTCCACCTTGAATGTCAGCTTCAGCTCTGGTGGTGGGGGTGGGACCCGGACCCCAGTGGCACAGAGGATCAGAGTGAGAAAGGACAAGGAGGGACGGAGGGAGGTGGGGATGAGCCTGTATAAAGATTTTATATGCTACTGGAGTCTTTGTGTTTGTCTCCGGAGGCAGGGTGGAGGACGGGTGGGCTGCCTGGTCTTCATATTGTTCCCCAAACAGGGGTTGAGAGGTGGGACTAGACAGGAGCCAATGGGGTGGCTGAGCTTGACGTGAAGTCAAGTGGGTGGGGGTGGGGCTTCGCGCCATTGACTAGTTGGTTGCTAGGCAACTTGGTAAACTGAAGGGGGAAACCTGTTTGAAATCTCCCTCCCTAGATGAGGGGTTGCAGGGGTCACGGGGAGCCGGGCTGAGCAGGAGTGGCAGGAGCTGTGTCAGACTGCTGGGTGTGACCGTGTGAGACTGCAGGCAGTGGCAGACACTGCGCTGCGGGCTTGCTGGCACTCACGCTGTTTACCAGCACCCAGCGGCAGAGGGACCATTACTCAGCTCTGGGGGAAGGGGAGCCCGAGCACAAGCCTCCCCTCCTCTGGACTCCCCAGGAGGCAAGCAACCCATAGTCAAGGACACACGTGAAAGGTGCTAGAAAACAGGGACATCACGTTCCGCGATCTGGGGAGACACAAGCCAAGGACGAGGGACTTAGTCACTGGGCAGCTGCCTGCGGTCTCCTTGTATCTCCCTAGCTCTGACTTTCAGGGTGCGGACTGTCAGAAGCAGTGACTCCCCCTTCTGCCCCCCCCCCCCCATACACCTTACCACGCAGAGAAGGAAGTGCTTGGAAGAGCCAGTGGGCGCTTGGGGAGGTGATTGGGGACTTGGCCATCGTAGGAAGGGACAGCGGTGGGGGTGAGGTGTCCTGTGGAGGCTTGTGAAGAATGTCGCCCTGCCCAGAGGTGCTGAAAGCCAGGGTTTAGTCCCACCAAAGGCAATGCCTCCCCTCCCCCAGGATAATTGGAAACAGCCCTGCTGCGGGGCTGTAGGTACTGCCTTCCCTCCCCCAGCCTCACTTTCTCCCCACAGCGGGCTGAGCAGGGCCCAAGTTTACCCCTAAGTCGCTTGCCTTCCACGCAGCTCTCGGGGCCCAGGGGGCCGGGCTCAGGAGGCCCTAGGTGGCTTCAGGCGCCTTGACCCCAGACTCCCAGGGTGACCTTGGGTAAGTCCAGGGGCACCTCCCGAGCCGCCGTCTCCTCACCCATCCTCGGCTCGGCCCCTCCCACCTCACACAGGTAGTCCACCGATCAACTCAGCTGCACTTTTTGTCAAGTGCCAAGCCTTTGAGGTTATTATTCTCTTCAGACCTCCGCAGGAGCAGCGGTGTTTTGGGATGGAGGTGGAGGAGGAAGGAGGAAGATTTCGCGGGAGCGGAAAAAGGGGTGGCTTCCGCGGGGTGCAGAGGGCGAGAGCCTTTCCGAATTCCAACCGCTCCCGGGCGAGCCGAGGGCCGGCTGCGAAGACGGGCCGCCGCTCGGCCGGAGACGCAGCCTCCCCGAGACAAAGGGGGCGTGAGAGACCGCGCCAGGGCGTGAGGCGGGGCGGCGGCCGCGGCGGGCGGGAGGTGCGCGAGGTGAGGGAGGTGTGGGGGGCGTGGGCCCGGGATGCCGCCGCCCGCTCCGGCTCGAGCTCCAGCTCCGGTTTTTCCCTCCACCATCCTCTCCCCCTCCCCGCCTCTCCTTTAACTCCCCCCTCCTGGGCTCGGGACTGGTTTCCTCCCTTAGCCTGCTGCCCTCAATCCCGGCGAGGCTGGGGCTCCGGCGCGGCGCCCCCTTCCTCGCTCCCTCTTCCCGCGCCCCATGCCGCCCCCGCCCGGCCCCCGGTTGCCCCAGTCCCCCACTTAGGCCGGCGCATAGATCTCGGGGGTGCTGGCGCGTGGGCCGGGGGCGCGTCGGGCGCCTGCAGACGCCCCCTGGAAAGGGGCTGTTGGTGGTGGGGCTGAGCGCGCTCCGCAGCGGGGGCGCAGGCAGAGCAGGAAGCGGGTCCGCGTGAGAGCCGGGGCTTCGGCCACTCGTGTAGCGAGGGCTGAATAGCCGAGTAGCCCAGGTAGACACCCCCGGGGTGAGCGACTTTGGGGGAGTTGGTGCCCCGCCCCCCAGGCCTTGGCGGGGTCATGGGGGGCCCCCGTTTTGGGCCGAGGGGCGTGCGAGTCGGGGCCCTGCTGCTGCTGGGGTGTTTGGGGCTGGTGTCTGGGCTCAGCCTGGAGCCTGTCTACTGGAACTCAGCGAATAAGAGGTGAGCTGCCTGGGGCTGGGGGAGACCCCAAGCTCTACGACAGAAGGGGGGTGAGAGGGGGCAAGGGGTAAGAAGCTTTGGGGACTTGGGGGCTGGGTTCTCTGGACCGAGAGGAGGCTGGTGGGAAGGCGCTGGGACTGGGTGGGAGGTGATGGGCTGGCTGTAAAGAAGCGATTCCTGCAGCCCGACTCCAGGGTCCGACACAGAGCTGGAGGTGGTTGCTTGATGCCCATGTGCGAGGAGTTTGGACACCCCGAAGGGACAAACATGGGAAAGTTTCTGGGTAGAGTGGGGAGGGCAGCAGGAGCAGCGTGGTTCTCTGGCACTGTGGGAGACCTGTGTCAGGCGGGGGCTGGGCTTGGAGGGAGCCTGGTTAATGTCAGCTCTCAGGAGAGAGCCGCTGAGTAGGTGCTGCGAGGGGAAGGGTAGGGCCGCCTCTCTCTCTCCTGGGGACTGGGTGTTACAGACGGGAAAGGGGGCTCAGCCTGGGGACTCTGAGATGGCTTCCCTAAGTCTCCTGAACCTCTTCTCAGCCTGTTGCCCACCTCTTGCCCAGAGCCGGTGGTGCAAGGGGATGGGGTGGGGGTGGGGGGGAAATGAACTGACTGCACAATTTGTGCCTTCCTATCTTTGGGATCCAGGAGCTGGAAACGCCCCCCCTCCACCCCCTTCCCAAGTCTCCTTTCCCTGAGCACTCTACCACTCCCTCCCCCCAGTTCTGCTGCCAAACTCTTCCAGCAACCCCTCTGCTCCCGGGCATGCTTGCTTTGCTCTGAAAAGAGGCCAAGGGTCAGGAGAAAACTTCCAGCCGCCCAGGGGGGAGGACAGGACCTTTGGGAGGTCATCTGGGTTCCTTGCCTCCTCGCAGTTCCCATTGCGCTTAGCAAAAGAGTTCTGTGTTTGGAGGGAAACTTCCCCATTTCCCTGGAGAGGCCAGGGGAAGGGGGTGGGCTTGGGGAACTTTCAAGCCTGCTTCTGCTGCTGCTTGTCGGCTGTGTGGCCTTGGCCTTGTTGCTTAACCTGTCTGAGTTTGCATCCTCAGTCCACACAGCTGTTGGGAGGACACAAGGTAAGGGGTTGGCACAGACTATGCACTTGTTAAAGGACAGCTAGGCGTGTTATTCTTCCTCTCCTGACTTTTCAGCCTCTCTGTTCTCCCCTGTCCACCTCCCATCTTCCTCCCCTGTCTCTGAACGCCTTTTCTGTACTCAGTCTTCCAGCCGCCGACCCCCAGCTCAGGTGTGGCTTGAGGATATGCATTAGGCTTATGCTGACAGGTGGGAGAAGAAAGTTGGGGTGTCCTGGGTGGAAGATACCAAATCCAGACTCCTGGGTGCCACACTGGCACCTGTTGTAACTAGGGGTGCACAGGGAGGACCTGCAATGGATAGCAACCTGTGGCCTGGCTGGGCCACGAGATGTGGGGTTTTGTGTTTTGTGGTTGGAAACCAACATTTTTTTTAAGATGTTATTATTTATTTTTATTGGAAAGTCAGATTTATAGAGTGAAGGAGAGAGAGGAAGATCTTAACATCTGCTGGTTTACTCCCCAATTAGCCACAATGACCAGAGCTGAGCTGATCTGAAGCCAGAAGCCTCCTTCAGGTCTCCTGTGCAGGTGCAGGGTCAAAAAGACTTTGGGCCTTTCTCTACTGATTTTCTAGGCCACAAGCAGGGAGCTAGAAGGCAAGTGGAGCAGCTAGGGTACGAACCGATGTCCATATGGGATCCCAGGCATGCAAGGCAAGGACTTTAGCTACTAGGCTATTGTGCCAGGCCCCATCAATGGTTTTAATTCCAAAGGGATGGAACACTTTCCTCAGGAAGTCTGGATCTCAGTTGGGGTCAGGGTCAGGTAGGGGTGGGGTGGCAGAGCAGGGCAATGACCCAGATTGCTGGTCCCCCACCCTGATTTCTTTTAGTCCCACTTATGATCATTGTCAAACTAGGCATTTGCCTCCTGTCCCACTCTTTGGTTAAGCTGGGAGCTCACTGGCCTGCATCACCACCCTCCACACCCCCTTTCCTGACCTGTCCCCTTTGGTGGTGGCCTGGAGGAAGGGAAGGCTATGTCCAACCCCAACCCACTCCCTAACCCATCCCCCCCATACCCCCTGGTTGACTGCCATGGAATAGTGAAATCACCTGGGAGGGATGGGCTGTGTGGTTCCAGAGAGGCCAGCTCCTTGGTAACTGGCATCCTGTTGCCATGGCAACGGTGCTGGTGATGGAGCGGGAGATGGCAGTGTGCATGTGGTGAGGGCGGGCTGAAGAGTGCATTTGGGCACACCAAGGGGCAGGAGACCTTAGAGCCTGGCTCCCTGCTGCTTCTGATGTGAGCTTGCAGAGTCCTTGGTGCCTGCCCTGTAAGCCCACACTTTCCACCCAGACAAAGGCAGGCAGGGCTGACAACTTGCTGCCCCGGTGGTGGTGGGCAAAGGAGGACACACCCTGGAGCCAGAGCTCTGCCATCTCCTCCTCCTTGCCCACGTCCTCCTCTTCTCCACAGGTTCCAGGCAGAGGGTGGTTACGTGCTGTACCCCCAGATTGGGGACCGCCTAGATCTGCTCTGCCCCCGAGCCCGGCCTCCTGGTCCCCACTCTTCTCCTAATTATGAGTTCTACAAGCTGTACCTGGTTGGGGGTGCCCAGGGCCGCCGGTGTGAGGCGCCCCCGGCCCCCAACCTCCTTCTCACTTGCGATCGACCCGACCTGGATCTCCGTTTCACCATCAAGTTCCAGGAGTACAGTCCTAACCTCTGGGGCCACGAGTTCCGCTCCCATCACGATTACTACATCATTGGTACTGCTGGGGCAGAGGACAGGGACTGGTGGAGAACTGGGCTAAGGGTGGGTCAGGGAAGGGAGCCCTCGGAGCCAGGAGGGAGACCAAGGCATGCAGGCAGAACAGGGGAGGGGGAACTAGGTGTTGGGTGTCAACTCTGCTCTTTGCGTTCTCTCCCAGCTACATCTGATGGAACCCGGGAAGGCCTAGAGAGCCTGCAGGGGGGTGTGTGCCTAACCAGAGGCATGAAGGTGCTTCTCCGAGTGGGACAAAGTGAGTGGGGCTGGGTGCACTTCCTGGAGCAGCAGGAATTTGAGCATAGCGGACCAAGGGCTCAATTGTCTCACCTGCCCTCTGTCTTGGGCCTTGCCTATCACCAGGTCCCCGAGGAGGAGCTGCCCCCCGAAAGCCTGTGTCAGAATTGCCCATGGAGAGAGAACGAGGGGCGGCCCACAGCCTGGAGCCCGGGAAGGAGACTGCACCAGGTAGGAGCCAAGGGCGGTCAGCAGTTCCCTGCCTTCCTTCCAGTCTCCCCTGCCCTTGGACCCCAGCTGCCCAGCCTTTACCGACTCCTCCCTCTCCCGTTTGAGGGGGGCAGTAATACAGGAAAGAGAAGAAGAGAGGCTGGGAGGGTGGGAAGGGAATGGAATGGAAGCCAAATGAGGAAAAGACTCAATTAGAACTAATTAGCCAAGTCAGTGCTTCAATCAGCGCTGTCAGAGGAGTGGGGAGGACTGTGTGGCAGTGAGCTGAAGGGCTGGACACCTGGATTCTGAGTGGGCTTGCGGGGGAGGAGAGGCGGGGGTGGTCTCCCTCAGGGCCAGGGCACTGCTGGGGAAGCCTGTGGGGACCCTCAGGGTTGGGCATACAGGTGCTCAGGCGGCTCCTTCAGCCCCTCCCCCTCTTTCCTCCTTCACCCCTTCCCTGCCAGGTGACCCCAGCAGCAATGCAACCGCCCGGGGTGCTGAAGGCCCCTTGCCCCCTCCCAGCATGCCCGCTGTGGCTGGGGCGGCAGGGGGGCTGGCGCTGCTCTTGCTGGGCGTGGCAGGGGCTGGGGGTGCCATGTGCTGGCGCAGACGGCGGGCCAAGCCTTCGGAGAGTCGCCACCCTGGTCCCGGTTCCTTTGGGAGGGGAGGGTCTCTGGGCTTGGGAGGTGGAGGGGGACTGGGACCCCGGGAGGCAGAACCTGGGGAGCTAGGGATAGCTCTGCGGGGAGGTGGGGCTCCAGATCCTCCCTTCTGTCCCCACTATGAGAAGGTGAGTGGCGACTATGGGCATCCTGTGTATATTGTGCAGGATGGGCCCCCCCAGAGTCCCCCGAACATCTACTACAAGGTATGAGAGTGCCTCCCACCTGGCTCTCCTCTCAGTCTGGCCCCTTGTGGGGTGCTCCTGAATTGACATCAAGGTTTAAGGGACATCGCTAGTATTCCCTGGGCCCCTTTGCCCCACCAGTACCCCGTTACCCGTTTCTGGCGGTTGCCCTTTGCCCCACTTTTAGGGTTCCTGAAATTTCCACTATACCCCTCCTGCCCTCCTGGTTAGCTGTGGGCACCCCCTGTGTCTCTGTGTCCCCTGGGGAGGAGGCACAGGTCAGCCTCCTCTCTGACTCTGACCTAGGCATCCCTGCCCCTTCCCCGCCCCTTGAGCTAGGGCTGGGAACAGTCTGTCTTTTGGTTGGCACCTCTTTTCTTCTGCCTCTCACTGTTTTTTCTCTCCTTTCTGTGTCTTATTCTTTCTCTCTCTTCTGTCTTTAGGTCTGTTCCTCTTCCCTAGCATCTCCTCCCTACACCTCCTCTTGCCCTCTTGGCCCCTCCCATCTCCTAGGTGGGTGGGTGGGGTGGGGGGCATCATAGCATCTCTCCCCTTAGCTCTCGGCCCACCTCTGAGCTTGCATACCAACCACTCTCCTCCATCGGCTGTCAATGGGGGCTTCCGGGGAAGGTTCTGGCACTCCACCTGCCGGCTCAGGGCATGGACAGTCGGGTTTCCTCTGCCCTGCTTCGTCCAGCCCTCTGTAAACTCAACTCCAGGCGTTTGAGGGTGGTTGGGTCAATGACAGCTGCCATGAGAAGAAATGTCTTGTGGTGTCCAGTGGCAAGATATGAGCCATTTGGGACGTGTGTGGACTCGATCTGATGCTGAATGGGCTACTTGGGACAGGAAGTGACCTGCTCCAGACAAGAAGTATGGCCAGGCCTGGACAGAAATGGCCTGGCAAGTGGCAGAAGCAGTGCAGCAGGAACTGGAAGTGCCTTCATCCAGGACAGGAAGTAGCCCTTCTGAAATAGGGCTGGAAGTGGTCTGGCTGGAACTCCAAGTGGCTTAGTCTGGGGTTTGGGGGTGGGTGGGAAGTGGGGAATGGGGCAGGAGAACTTCCTGTCTCGGGAGGAAGCTGGAGCTTTACTGGCAGAGGATAGGGATAAACTGAGGAGGACTTTCCCAGGATTCAAGTGGTGTGTCCCCAGGCCCTCTCTCCCCTGTGCTCTGCGTGGATTCTAGGACAGCTAAGATGACTGCCATTTGCAGTGGCAGGCCCAATGTGTCTTGTTGTTCCCTTTCTGTATCCCAGTATAATCTGTGTTCATCAGCAGAACTATCCCCAAAAACTCGTGCATTCTCCCTAGTAACCCGGATGACTGTCTTGTTCATCCCATCTTCCATTTCTACTCCCTTCGAATTCAACAGCTCCCTTGTTAGTGACCAGAATGGTGGCCTACTGATGGGTCTGGCTAATGGTGGTTCTTAGCGACAGCCACTGTTTCCATAGTGACCAGCCCATACCTCTTCCTGCCCTCTAGTGCACCACTGGATGTTGCCTCAGTTTCTTTCCAGCTGTGTTGTTAGATCGCAACTGTCCATGGGCACTAAGTTGGCCCCCTGAATCACCAGCCCACATGGTTGCTTTGTCCACCAGAGGTCACATCATCTCTCTGGTGCTGTAGTTGCCAGCTCCTTCCTGATTTTTCTGATGGCTCCTTCCAGGGAACAGGAAGTTGATACTGCCAATGGGGGAGGTGGCGGGGTACAGGCCGTCACCTCGATAGTTTTATTGTAAAAGGGAAATTTGAACAACAAAAGCAAAAACAAACAAAAAAAATAATAAAAAACTTCAAAAGTTAACCAAAAGACTGGAAAATGACTGGATGTGAAAGTGCTGGTTAATAGGTTGGAGCATGCAACACCAAGGGGAATGGGAGACAGAGGGTTGGCTTGCAGTAGGGAGGGGGGTGGCCCGCACAGAAGGGGTCATGGGCTGGGAAAGAAGAGGACTGCCAAAGCAGGCCCCTCCAGTGGAGGGCAGAGGAGCTAGGCAGGAGGGGGCTCCACTCCCTTCCTGAAGGGGTCCGTGAGTCTCCAGGCACACATGGGGAGTATATCTGTTGCTAAACTGAGCACCAAGGAGACAAAGTCACAACACGGGAGGGAGTGGTCAGACATTTTCACCTGTTAACATCTTTTCCCTACCATTCCCACCCATGGCACTTCTAACTGAGGAAATCCACAGAGGTTAAAGGGGTGGGGCCTGTGTCCTGGCTCTCTGTCTACCCATAACTCAGGCTCTTCTCCCCTAAAAAGTCCAGGTGCCCAACCCCCTAGACTTAGTCCCATTCTCCAGCCACAAAAGCAGCCATCAGGAGCATCACTGGAGCGAGTCAGTAGGGGTCACAACCTCTGCCCTCCCTGTCCCTCCTCTGACTTTAGGTCCCCTCCTGCTGTATCCCATCTGCCTAGAGGTCAAGGGTCCCCTTTCCCCTCCTCAGTCCAGTGGGAGCCCTCCCTCTATCTGAGCAAGGTGCCTGGGTGGGTCCTGAGAGGTACAGGTGCTGCTGGAGAAGACTTGGAAACCAGGAGGCCAGGTGCTGGGCCGCCTGGAATTTACTCTTGCCTCTCAATCCACACTGGAGCCTGTTTGAGGTGGGGAGGCTCAAGGGGGCTGGAAGGGCTGGTCCCTGCCCCTTAGTGGGGGTTGGTTGTCTTGGCAACATCCCCTTCTCCACACAATGGGAAGCCCCCCTCAGCCTCCTGCGTGGATGGAGCCGACAGCCCCATCGCTGGCTATCAGCCTCAGGGACTTGGCAACCGTCACTATGGCAACCACAGCCCAGCAACAGGGCCCACTGAGAAAGGGAGGGGTCCAAGACTAGGGCAGGGCTGCATGTCTCTGTATGTGAAGGGGGCAAGGGAGTGAAGGGAGACCTCCCCCTGCACATCTAGAGGCACAGGTGGAGAGACAGGAGGGGAAAGAATACTCTTCTGTGACAGACAGCTCCTCATCACAGCAACCAAGACAAGCTGCGAGACAGGACACCTGGGGATGAATGCACAGCTGGGGAGAGTCACAGCACACGTGGCTCCATGCCCTGGGACACACCCCTTATAAGCACTGCCTCCATGAACTGCCTGCCAACCCCTGGCCTGAACACCATGAGACTTGCAGCCTCCCACACTTTGTCCAAGGACACACATGTGTCTTTTGAACTAGGTGACTTGGACGCAGAGCCTGCTTTCTGCTTTCTGGGTACATATACATAAGCACATTCAGAGGATGATAGCTATAATCAAAACAGACAGGGCACATCCATTTGTCATGTATTCATTCAGTCAGCCAACATCCTGTGGAATGTGAGTTTCAGGCACTTGGAGTATGTGATGCACAAGGCCAAGTCCTTGCTTTCATCAAGTCCACGTTTTGGTGAGGACAACACCTACATATCATTTCAGGCAGGAAAGAAAAAAAAAAAAAACAGGAGTGGGATAAGGAGCAACTAAGAGATACCTGAAGTTGAGGGATTAGAAAGAGTCCTCTGAATTTCAGAGGACTTGGATATGGAGAATAAGCTATACACTATGGGGAATGGTGTGCCAACAGAAGGAACAGCAAGCTTAAAAGGCAGATGTGAAATCTTGGCGTGTTTCAGAATAGTGAAGAAGACATCCCAACTATACGTTCATTCCAAATGTGTTCTGTCTTTCCCTTGATTCAGCATGGTGGGGGAATAACTTACTTAGGGTTTAGAACCCACATTTAGACATTGACATAAGGGGGTCTTCATTTCTCTTTCTTTTGGTAAACATTTTACTTCTTTTCCTCTTATTTGAAAAGAAGAAAGAAACCTTTCATCTCTTCCCAGAACCTCAGCAACAGCTGGGGCAGAGCCAGGCAGAAGTTTTAAGAAGCCTGGATCTCAAGCTGAGTCTCCTCTGTGGGTTGCTGGGCTCCACCTACTTGAGCTGTCACCTGTTAACCTCCAGGAGTGTACATTGGCAGGAAGCTGGGACAGGAAGCAGAGCTGGGACTTGAACTCAGACGTTCTGATGTCCTTGCAGTGTCTTCGCCAGATGCCAACCTCTCTCTTCTTTGTGTCTTCTGTATCTGGGGTTGTGTGGTCCTCAACGAAGGTTTAGGCTCTGGGAAGGCAAGGATGATGCTCTGAGATTTTGGAAGATGTGGCAGTTTTGGGCAGAGTCCAGGGCAAAAATAAAGGAATTGAGAGTGTTGGGAACCAGAAACACTGCAGGTGTTCCCACTCTACCAACAGCATACAATTGAGGAGGACTGTCCTGGGGGGACGGGGGGCTTAGCTCTTCCAAAACAGAAGCAGCTGATGGGTGTGTGTATGTGTGAGCAGGCCCTTTACATAGGGGGTGTTAAGGAAGGGGGACGGAGCAGGAGTTTGCAGTGGGAATCGGATGAAGAATGGTTGACATCACATCTGGAATTTCAGTTAGAATGAAAAATAGAGCATCCTGAAGGGTTACACAGGCATGCACAGACACGAGACTCTCTCTTCCCCTGGCAGACCTGAAGCAGTGTTGCAGGGCAGGCTTGGAGGCAGGTGGCTACAAGGGCTCAGAGGATAGGAGGGGGCAGTGAGTAGGGAAAAGGATGAAGAATGACTGCACAGGACATGAGAGTGCAAAAGAAAGCAGAAAGGGCTCTGTAAAGTGGGATCCTAGAGGAGATCGTCTAAGGGATCCCCCAATTCTCACAAGGAGTGGAGGTGTTCCATCTCCTGGTTCTCCCTCTTTCCTCCAGAAGCCCAGGCATCAGTTCCCCTAAAGCCAGTGGCTGGTGGGATTGTTGGGCAGCCTCAGGGGGCAGCAGCTGGTGAGTGGGGAGGAATCTGTGTGTTCAGCAAACAGCAGCTTTGGTGCCCAGGGGCTGCCTCCTCCTTCATCAATCAGCCCTAGCCAAATGTCCTTGCATTCCCACCACCCCAAGCGGACTGGGGCTGGGCCAGGGTCCCCAGGGGAGTGAGCTCGGGCTGGGCGGAGGGAGGTGGGGGCCTGGATTGGCTTCGCAGCCCTTGGCCTCTGTTCTCTTCTCTCTTAGAGACTCTTGGTTTTTAAG